TCAGCTTCCACAAGCTGTGACTGGCACCTGCTCTTGAGCCGATCAAAATCACCTTTGACCAACAGCTTGCTGATCTTGTCCACAACCTTGTTGGAAGTGAGCTGTGCAGCAAGGGCTGCAACCCTGAAGCATGGCAGTAAGCTGCCAGTCACCTTGAAATCAAAGTGAGTAACCAATCTCATGAACTCCTCTCCCAAAAGTGCACTTTCTCCAAATGACTTGCTGAAGGCCACCAGGAAAGAAGCCAAGGGCATTTGCTGCCCTCCTGTATATAGCTGTGCAAAATGTGCTATCACATCCAAGTACTGCTTGCGTTGGGGCTCTCCAATGGCAGTCTCAGCCACAGCAGCTTCCAAGGTCTTACCCAGCTGGATGTATTTGCTAATGGTTGCCAAGCACTCCAGCTCAGTGGCAGCCACTTGTGCAGTGTTACTGCTGTTGAGAGCTGCAGAGTACAGCAAGGGCAAGGTAGGGAAGGCTTCTTCTAAGCGTTCAGCCAAGACAAGCCATTTCCACCCAACTTCTAAGATCTGCTTCAAGGGCTCATTGCCACTAGGGATGCCACCAATTTTTTTGGCCTTCAAAAAACTGGTGCTGTGTGAAGCTCCAACACTCATGTACAGCTCATCCCCCTGTAAGGGTGCCAACACAGAAGGGAATTGCTGCACCAACAACTTGTTGGCATCTATTTGTTGCTGCCTTGTGGTAACATTGCTGGAGAGAGCAAATGCTACTGAGCTACTCTCTAACAAGTCCTTTCGAAAGCCTTGGCCCATGAGCTTTTCTCCCTTTGCCAAGACGTCATGGCCATTCAGCGTTGAGCCCCCTCGGTTGGAGGGGTGTACAAGCAGCTTGCAGGGAGGTATTGTGTGAAATGATGCCAGCCCATTCTTCAGCCAAAGCTCATTCAGCATGACCATCTTTGAGTTCACTGGCTCATTTGAAGCAATGACTTTGGATGCTTCCTCTCTCACTGAGTCAGACAAGGCCATGGCACACTGGTCTTTGTCTGCAAGGTGCAGAAGCAAAAAACCTTATTTGGGTGCATATGTGGTCTTATAGGTTGCTTTTCTGGGACTGCATGTCTCATGTAGGCACGTGTTTGTTCTTCCCAAAGATTTGAACAAAATGCACAAGGAGGCAACAACTATGGAATCCCAAGCTATGGCAACCTAGCCTTTTGGCCCAAACCCAAGACATGGACCAAAGACAGCCAAGATGGCTCCATGCAAGTGGCATGTACAAACAGCCAAGATGGCTCCATGCAAGTGGCATGTACAAACAGCCAAGATGGCTCCATGCAAGTGGCATGTATAAACAGCCAAGATGGCTCCATGCAAGTGGCATGTACAAACAGCCAAGATGGCTCCATGCAACAAACAGCCTTGCAGGCTCTATATACATTTATTGACGCTACTATAGAAGACAACAGCCATTATATAAATATGTTGGTTTTCAAAAAACCTAAAGGGTTTAGCAAGGTTAGTAAACCCTTAACTTGACAGTTAACATATTTAGCTAAGCCCTTAACTTTTCATTAGTTTTCTTTAGCAAGGTTATGATGTTTAAGATGATTAGCAAAACCTTTAAAATGCTTAGAAACTTTATAATAGTTTAGGATTAAGTTAAAAGCAACTTAGGAATAACTTATAACATATTAGTAACACTATCTAACCAGTTAGCAAACCCCCAGCACATCTAAGCACGATCTCCGCAGAGGGTTGCGCGCGCCCCGGACGAGCGGCGCTCTCGCCTGCATTTGGCGCACTCGACACGCACGATCTCCGCAGAGGGTTGCGCGCGCACCGGACGAATTTCGCGCATTCGACACGCGCGATCTCCGCAGAGGGTTGCACGCGCACCCGGCAAATCGCACTCTCGCCTGCATTTCGCACACTCGACACGCACGATCTCCGCAGAGGGTTTTGCGCGCGCAGGTTGCAAATCGCACTCTCGCCTGCATTTCGCGCACTCGACACGCACGATCTCCGCAGAGGGTTCCACTTTCGGTTGACGCTGTTCGTCCCACCCTCCGCCTTTAAGAGAGAATGTATAAAGTGGGGAAATGTTTTTTCATTAGGACATCTCCCGTGCTAGTTTTCCATGCTCACACTTGCCTACTCATTACATGCTTTGCCTACTCATTGCATGCTTGCATACTCATTACATGCTTGCATACTCATTGCATGCTTGCATACTCATCATTGCACTTGCATCATTTCACTTACATACTTACATACTTACACTTGCATACTTTGACACTTGCATACTTTGCACTTGGATGCTTTCGCTCTTCCACTTACACTGGGGTACGTATACCGTTCATGTTGTAGTGCAAGTGTGGTAGAAGTGTCAGTGTATAAGTGTAAGTGTCGAAGTGTCAGTGTTCAAGGGATTTTCCGGAAGAACCCTTCGCAACGCTTTCGGGAAAAAACTGTTGCATTTTTGAAGCTTTTGAAATAGGAAGCATTGGTACCATGATATAAAAAAAGAATATCCCAAATGATGTAACTTAGAGTTTGCGCATACAGTGTGGAGCGTGTAGAGAGCATATCCCCGAGCTTGGTGGTGGAGTCCCCGGTGTAGGGGAGCGCGATGTCGCGAAGACGACGTGCGCACGCACGACCTCGGCCGTCGTGGGTAGATGACAAGAGAAGGAAGGACTCGCGACGAGTGAGGTTTGCCTTGCTACACTTGCTACTGATGCTGGGGTGTTGACGACCTGGTTGGCAATCCTTGGTATGATTTTGCTACCTAGCACACTGCGATGCGTAGAGCTGCGACACATTGCCTTGCTACCGCGGCCAAAGATGTTGCTGGTGGAGTTCGCGCAACTATTGCCTTATTATTGCACTGGATTTCCAGACATGGGTGACATGATGGCTCCTAGACTTCGATCAATTGTTTGACGCACGTCATAGATACTTGTTATGCTGTAGCGTTCTTCATGTCATGGTAGTGGGTTAGAGTATCAACATTGTTTTATATTAGCCCAGGTTGTCGGCCGCTATCCTTTCGTGTACGCTCCATTGGAACTAAGGCGTTGTTGGGTGTATGTTTTTGCTGCGCCTGGTGCATGGGATTGCACGCTGAGACTCTCCGAAGCTGTCGGATTTACACACTCTTGCTGATCGGATGTGCGTCGCATTCTTGGAAGCTGACGTGGCAATCTCCTGTCTTCTATATCCTCCTATTTTTCATATCTATTTCCAATATTTCCTCCAAAGAAGAAATCGGATGTCGAGAAAGCAGAGAGTGCCCGCGCAGAGTTGGATGAGTTCATACGAGTACACGGAGAAATACCATCGCAGCTGTCTGAGTTATCGCAAAGTCGGGCAATCTATTCCAAATTGAGACGGCTGAAACTTTTGCATTTGCTGAAACAGGATGAGTCTCAAGTTGCAATTTGTAAAGCTGTTGACACTTTTTTCCAGAAGCACTCGCGGCTACCGAAGCGACGGAAGTCAGACATGGAGGATCAACGAGCAGAGGACACCTTAGCTCACCACAGGGTCGCTTTCAGTACGTCCCAGGGGCTTGGACGGCGGCTACGAAGGCGAGCGTAGCGACTGAGTCCAGGGGAACCAAAAGGAAGTACGACCCCACCAAGTGGCGTCAGCTGCGAACAGATTTCTGCGACATCTGGTCTCTTGCGCTGGAAGAGGTGGCCACTCCCACGGCGCAATTTTTCCGAGAACACGGGGCTCTGCGTGTCTTTGCCGCCGAAGCTGGTGGAGGCGGCGATTGCTTCTTCTTGTCCACTGCGGTCGCGCTGATGCAGGTGCGAGCAGCCCACGACTCTTGAATCTTTTCACTTCCGATGAGGTGGCTGACTGGGACGACCGAACTACGGTCGCGGCTGCTCTCCGCAAGATTGTCGGGCGACACATGCGTGCCAAGACGCCAAAAGCATTCTTGAACTTCGTCGCCGGATGTTTGGTGCGCGAAGCTGCGGGGACATGGCTGGACGACTGGTCCATGACCACACTCCTGCTTTCTTGAAAGACGCCAATGATGTCCTCGGAGCAGAAGTGGTGGACGGCGCCATGCTAGTTCGCTACAAAGAGGGCGATAGCCCCGTGACGAGGAGCAAGAGAGTGCATTCTGGCGCTGCAGCCCTGGTGTGGCTGCAGCATGCCGTGAGTGCTGCTCTCGAAACTTGCGGGAATACTCATTGGGCAACAGACGTTGTTGCATTGGCCACAGAGCTCAATCTTGGCTTCATGATTGCTGGAAATACTTGGACCCAGACGTCTGCTGTTCGAGGCCCTGGTGACACATCCAAAAACGTTTCGAATTGTAATTCTTCTCCTTTCTGACTCGTGTTTACAAAAGACCGATGCCAATGTTGGACTAATGACATGACCTATAGGATAGTTTTACTCACTTCCGTTGTGTGCGTGTCTCATATACTTCTTGTTGATGCAGGTGAAACACAACAACGCACGGTCTTGCACTCCTATTTACAAGAAGATCAGACGCCGCAGTTGTGGATTTCTCTGTGTTATGTGGACGGCTATCATTTTCAAGTGCTTATTTTCGAGATTTTGGGACAATGCCATTGTTTCTTTCGTGATGTGGATCTGCCAGAACCTTTACGCCAGTGCTTGATTTGAATGCAAAACGAAGACCCTTCATGACGAAGACGGAGCTTGGTGGTGAAGTCCCCAGCACATGCTGCCTTGGTGGTGGAGTCCCCAGCGCATGATGTCCAACAGCGTGCCGGAGTGTGAAAAAGAGAATCTAACCGGCTGTGTCTCTTTCTATACACAGTGGATTGACATACGTGTTTGCATTCGGGTTCGTGGGCTCCATCTTGTTCTTTTCTCCTTTCGGGAGTACAGGCTCAAATTGAAGAAAGAATCCACCAACATAGTTTAATATGATGTAATATGTGCTAGAAAAAGATGGTCATGAATGGTAAACGAAACAAGAACCAGTTAACTGGTACCACCGTTGACCGCCACTCGGGGTGGTCTCCAATTTCACCGCTCCGTGGCATCGTTCCGTGGTGCTCCCAGGAGAGCCAAAGAGAGGCTTCACCTCGGACGGCACGACCGAGCTCAGTGGCGGACAGAGACCCAGCGGCAACGGAGACCAAGTGGAGGTGGAAGAAATAGGAAGATTCCACTGATTCAGCGGTGTTTTTTTGGTCCCATTCTGTTTTTGTCTTCGATTTTGGAACCATGAAGAGACCTGGAATCCAAGGTTTTGCTGGGATGTTTGATGTTTGTTGCTGTGAATCCCCAAAGAAGAAACGTTTCAGATGCAACAGCCTTGAACTCCTAGGCTGCCGCCAGCCCATCCACTTGCATTGCATCCGGGGAAGTCTTGGCTGGATCTTCGTGACATGCGGACTCGAAAAATAACAAAATGAATCCGCTCCGAATTGGAATCCCTGTGACACCAAATTCTTCTATAGGAGATATTGCGCCAAAGACGACTCCCGTTCAAGAACGGAATTGTTCATTGTCCAATGGCTCTTCTCGCCTCATAACTGAGGCAGTTTTCTCACCGATGAGCATGGCATGGAACTCCCCCGGAACTCACATTGTTCTCTGCGCACGACCTTTTGTTTAAAGTTCTTTCAGCTTAAACCTGTCAGCTTGATTTCCATGTGTTTTTGTCAGTTTTTTTGGTAGAGGCAGAACATCTTTGTTTACACTGGCAAAGGTGACCAACACCTTCAATTCGTGTTTTTTCTTTGGAGTGAAAAAAGACTGGTGGATCTTTCTAGTATACCTCTTTAGGAAGGTCCTGTGGCGTTTCGTTTTTCTGTTCCGTTTCGGTGGCATCCAGTGGCTGCAGCGCATCCCTTTGGACACTTCGTGGGTCACATCCAGCAGCAACTCACCTGGGCCACAAGTGATCTGAACGTCCCTTGATGTGCATGTTCCATCGTACCTTGCACAAACATCATACGTATCACCCAAACCACACGAATGGGAGTGGAATTGATATGCCTCCATGGAAACTCGCAAAAAAGACACCCCGAACAGGTGTAGGTCAATAGGCTGCAGGGGGTTACTTGAAGGAATCAGCCTGAATCATAGCAGTTTCACTAGACTAGACGCCTTTTCTAGGGTCTTTGGTATCCATGCCATACAAAAAGGATTTCTACCCAAAAGACATCCAAGATCGAGCTGGTCTCGACCCACAAAAAGCCCCCCACAAAAAGCTAAAAGCAGCTCGGAACCGAGACACTGGTGTAGTGAAAGCGTCCGGACAGGATGAAGTACATCTTTTCGCCGCCGCCGCCGGCTTCGAACAAGTGTTCGCCGTAGATCCGTCGGGACTCCTTCAGGGCCTTCTCGCACAAGCGAGTCATCTCCTTGCTGCCCAGCACACCTGGGTCATGATGTACTTCGGGGGACGCTCAAAGCTGACGGCTTCAAGTGGCAAGCTGCTGGCATGCGCACAGCACAGCAGCTTAATTCAAAGTGTTGAAGAGTCTTCGCAAATGTTTTTCAATCATTTCCAGTGCCAGGTGACTCAAATGCTTCAGCATCGCATGAGTGTCCAAGATCGGAAGGCCCACTTCGTGCTGCAAGTGCGCCAGCAACTCTCGTGGCAAGCTGTCCAAGGCCTGGCACTCAGGATGGGCCGGTGGGACGAGAGCCTGGTGTTGGTCGGTGTGCCTGACCAAGCAACGATTCCCAAATCTGTCCCTTTAGTGGGCCATCTGGCCATCTGTGCAAAAGTTTGGAGCATCTGTGGAAGATAAAAGACGCCACATGTCATCCCCTTTTTCGGATTGGTTGACTTCGACAGGGAAGTACCTGTCGGTCATCTGACCTGACCTTGCTGCACTTGCGGTCATCCGAGATCCAACAAACTTGGTTTCCTCCATCTGTGGACTAAAAAAATCCAATGTCCAACCTGTAACCTGATGTTCGATGTCCAACCCCAAAAAACAAAAATCCATTGGAATCCATTGGAATCTGTTTCAACATGATTCCTTCCATGTCCAACCTTCTAAGCCCTAAAGGAGTGGCCACAACATGGTCGGGCCATCGCCTTGATATCGCTGAAGACCACTTTGCTCTTGGCTTTTCCCAGTCCACGTTGCCGGATGAAGGCCAACATGTCAGCGGCCAGTTCCATGGATAACTGCCGCTCGCTGATGTAGCGGCGAACCAGCATGTTCTGGAAGGTTTCCTGTGGATCAGTTGATCACCAACGATGTGGATGTGGAATGATGTGGACATGTTTTCTTACGACATAAGTCAAGAACTGTCCTGAAGAACAGCTATTATTATGAAAAGAGGTTCATGATGATGAACCAGGAAAATGGATGTCCGGGTATCTTGGGCATCGACATGCAACAGAAGTTCGCACAATAACCAGGTGTGAAGAGTAGAGAAGCAACTGATCACAAGCTCACCATTGATCTGAATCCAATGTCCACAGCGACATGTCTCGAGCCGTCTCTATGCCGAAATGAAAACACCCGGCTTGGCCGCTCACTGTCACCACAGTTTACCCTCAATCGTCTCGCCTTCCGTCGACCTCTTGCGTCGCCCGTCGGTCCTGGGCACTGCGGGCTTTCAATTGGCTCAAGGATTGGTTGATCGAGCCCAAGAAGAAGCTGAAGGCAATGAGTCCTGGCCGGAAAGGCCGACGAGCGGAACAGGCGCCCTTCTGTGAGTGGGTTGGGTTCCCCCCTAAGTCGGCATTGAGCTATATGGGTTGGTGGGGTTGTTGGTGGTCTGCTGTCCTGAATGGAGGTCCGGTGGATGGAAGTCCTGATCTTTCTTAAATAAGCACCTTTGAAGCCTACTTCGTGACTAGTGACTATAGTGGACTAGTGGAACTTGAGGCCAGCTGAAGTGCATCAAGTATCATGGAACTTATGGATTTGAAACTCCCTTTTAAAGCAACAACTAAACGACCAACTGTTGTTTGATGCTCTTGGCGTTCTTCAAAGACTCTCTGGAAGGACATTCTGGGGTGACACCTCTTGTAGGACACTCTTTTCTTGTTGGTTGCAAACTCTTATAGGGCAACGTTCTGGCACTGTTTCGGTCGATGAGTTCACGTGCATTGGAGACCCAAATCTGCGAGCTGGGGCCTCCAGTGTGCTGGGGCACATCTTGCTGGATCCGGGCCATGGCGTTTGGGGTCATGACACCCTTAAACCCTGATCAAAACATATCAAAACCATCACACTTGAACAGAACGACATGCTCTAAGGGCTATAGGATGTTCGACCAATTAGAAGAGGCCATTGGGCTGAGTTGGGTGGGCAGCTTTTTTTAACGGAAAAAACAAAAACAACACACACACATCGTCTCTCCGCCCGACGGTCGGTCCAGTCCGCACTGCTCCGCCACCGTCCACGCGGCGGAAGCGACGTCCGCGCCTGTGAGGACGACGCAGACGGTGAAGAGGCGCTCCACACCGTTGCTGGCCGAGACCTACGCGAGGTCTCGGAGCGCGGGCGGCGGAGTGGTGGGCGGAGTGGTGGCGAGGGGAAATGTGCGGGCAAGTGGTGGGCAGTGGTAGTAAACAACCATGAAGAAACTATATATTGGTGACCGGGGAGTGATGTTCGTTCTTCTTGGTGCCCTTTGCATTCTGGACCACTGGCAGCCCACATCAAATCAGATCAGCGTGTGGCGTGTCGTCTCCACCGTGGCTCCCTTCGCACCTCCATGGCCGCCGGGGTGAACTGCGTCAAGGCCCAATGGAGCGAAGTGCTGTACCTCGGGCGGAGCGGGCGGCGGAGACCAGGCCACTCGATTCGATGCGAGAGACGAAGTCTCCGAGTGCTCCCAAAAAATTAAGAAAAACACCAGGGTGAGGAAGCCAACTTCCACAGGTCTAAGAGCATATGCATGAGAGCGCGTATGTGAGCCACTATATACTTGAGAGAGGAGGGGGTGAACGAAAGGTAGCAGGCAATCACAAGCAACCCTGGTAAAAGTCCATGATGGCGTGAACCGGCGCAGGGGGGATTTGATCCAGGGGGGGCCCCCGACGAACAGAATCAACTCTTACAGGACCAAACTCAATGCACAATCCCAACTCCTGATTGTAATACATTTTTGCTAAAGCAAGGAGAACTCAGGTAGCTCAAGCTACCTTTCGTGATGAGAGCACGCACGTACACAGGATGACAGCACAGATGAGAGAGAGAGAGAGGGAGAGAGGGAGCACATTTCAGAAGACACGTATGAGAGCACACGCTTGAGAGCACAAATCCGCCCGCACCGAAGGTGGTGAGGCGTTGTCTCAGCTCGCGTAAGCCACTAGAATTGCTACATAGCCCATCAAGCTTTAGCTTGGGGGTAATGAAAGGCGATGTCGGCTATGCTGCCTGAGTGCAAATGCATTACTGACATCGTGTGTGCTTGCCGCTGTGGCCTTCCCGAAAGATAAATTAGAAAGCATTAATAATGTTAGTTATGCTGCATGAATGGAACTGCATCGTTCAAAGCGTGTGCATGTTTGCCCCCGCAGATGTCCTTATTGTACAACACGCCTAAGATAGGTACCAGCGTAGTCAAAATCATGTCGATATCTAAGACGGAACGTTGGGTAATAGGGGGACGCATCAATCACCAAGTTGCTGTCGTGGGGTGTTTTTTGTCAAAAGACTATGTTTTTTGCTAAAAGACTTCTTCTGACCCTTTGCGATCTTTCCCGGCTCAAAGAGCACACGTATCCGTGCGGGGGTCTTCGCCACGAAGCGGCGTGAATATGAGGGAAAACGCGTGAGAGCAAACATACGAGAGCGTACAAATGTGAGCAAAAACATGAGAGAACACACATATCGGAGCACACCCCTATACACCCCCTATAGGCAGGAGAGCGGCACTAAAAAAACTGTGGCGGGCAGTGTCCATGATATAATCGATATCTTCATGAACTGACCACGCATGGCCGTCATCACGGAACCACCCTGCGCCACGGCAGTCTCGGAACCGGAACCTGAACCTCGTCTTCTTCGATCCAGAACCGGCCCAGGTGCATATACATGAGATCGGTGGGAAGGCCCAGCTCATCTCCTCAGCATCGAGCGAGAGATCGAAGAAGGTGCGAACCGATGCGAGCGATCTCCTCCCAATTGGGAGGGTTCTTTGTTGGCTCTTTGTTGAAGAAATGGAATTTGAGAAAGCCATTTTTGCTCGGACATTTTGGATTCCAAAAAGATGTGGATCAAAAGAAGCCGACTCAGCTACTCATGGAGTGTCCCCCAAAAGAACCACTGCTTAGCTTCGATTGATTCAGGTCACGGTACGGAGTTCCGAAAAAGCACTCAGTATTTACTGCGGGCCAAGTGTCTGGTTCCTGCGTGCACGGTGATCCATGAGGTCTGTCCCGGCAATTCCTGTCCCGTGCGTCCCAAAGCGTACCAGGCACAACCGCAGAAGTGGCACATCAAAGCGATGATGGCCTCAGAGCCGAGCGGCTCGCGTGCAGATTCCGTCAGACCGGTGACTGCGCCGTTCTCTTTGTTTGCCTCACAAAAAATAAGTAAACAACTCCGGACTGGTAATAGGTGAACAAAAATAGTTTTCAGATTTTCCATGGATGTTCTATTGAGTCGGTTCTAACAACTGGGCACTGGACGAGCATGTCGTCCCGAGTGTGGAACTTCAACATGTCACAAAGCATACGACTCGCAGATTGAAAAAAACAACATCAGCTGATATCAGCTGTCATGTTCCGCAGGGAGTTCACATTAGAAATGGTTGGAAGTGAACGAGCAATGACAACACAAATAAAACATTGAAACCTGAAAGCGCCTCGGGAATTGTCCATAAAGTTGCTGCCACAGATTTTTGTAGACTCAAGCTACAAATTTCATCCCTATATATTATAGATAGAAACTTCATGAAACTTCTAGACTGCAAGTCGACTAAATCATCAAAGTCTTTGTCATTGTCTGCTTCTTTGGGGAATCGACCAAGACATGCCGCCGCTGGTGTCGGCCCCAGCCGTCGGCTTGACTTTGACTCGCACGCCTCTTCTCTCGGACCCCATCGCGCTGTCGGCCGTGCTTGACCGGACGCCGAGAGGCCAAGTGCTTCATCATTCCCAGGGTGGTCTCCACATAGACCTCGCGAGAAAGAGAGAGCGCGAGTCGGCGCGAAGGCGAGGCGTTTGGCGCATTCGAAAGAGACGAGAGACAGGTTCGTTCTCGAAAAATAAGAAAGACCTGCAGAGTCTATTGCTGGGATGCGCGAAGCCTGTCCTGTTCTGACCTTCGACCATGTCTCAGCACCCAATTCTGTGAGAAATCAGCTTGCGCACTCTGAAATCAGGGGCAAACCTTTGAAAGTTCTTAATTCTGCCACTCCAAGTGTCGGATGCCCACTCCATGATTTCGAAAGTTTGCAAATGCTCCTTCAGCACGCCGGCGCGACCCACCATCCGCACCAGCCGCAAGAGCCGCAGGTTTCGGAAGAGACGAAACAAGGTGAAGGACACCATGTTGCTGCTTTCCGTGCTGAAGAAGGAGACCATGTCCAACGAGATCAGCGCCACGTCCGGCAAAAACCAGCCGGTGAGGTAGCCTGAGATCAAGATCGAAAGCTCATGTGGGCCGCCAACGAAACAAGGACCACGTGTTTGATGCAAAAGCGCATTCGAAAATAAAGGAATGGTAAACAAACATCTGTTCAACAAATCTGCAGAATCAACCAAAATGCATTGCATTTCTTCCGAACCGGTTTCTCTCGTTTCTTCACACCCTGCGGAACCGGTGCATCTCGCGTTTCTGTTCCACCGCCCCAAGGGACGGCGTGCAATGGGCCGCATGCGCATCTCCACAAAGCCTATCAGTGGGGCACGGCCGTCCAAACAAACGGAATGAGATGGATGGATTTGATCGTTTGAGCTGAAAAAAGAACTTCAAGAACCCTAAACGTTTACGTGTCTTACTCTCCAACATGACACTTGCGGTCTACAGCGGATCGGATTGACACGTCCATTTTGCCTGGCAGGTACAGCACGGTCAGATTTCCACACCCGTTTAAATTGATAATGCTTATTCGGCTTTCAGGTGTGGAAATCTGACCGCAACTTAGGTGTCGACATGTTGCACGTAGGATTCTAAGGGGAAAGGGTTTGTCCCGTTTTTGAAGTCAAGAAGCTTAACTTTCGGCACCCCAGTGTATGTACGTTTACAATCGTTTACATACAAACTCTGCAGACAAACATGTCTATCAATAATCAGACCAAACTACCAGACCAAACGAATCACAATACCACATGTGATGTGCAAATTCCTCCTCGGTGTTACCCGATGGGTCGAGGACACCGGGTCGCGGACACCGGGTCTCCCATCGTTTCGTTCCATCCGGACCTGTCCGGGCATTGATGAAGCCGCGAAAGAAGGAGATGTTCATATCTAAACACCAAACCACAGCGCTCACCAATGCGAAGCCGTAGACGGCTCCCGTCTGTTGGACATCAAAGGCCGTGAGCAAGGGGATCATCACCTCGGTGTTTCGGGTCGAGACGGACGGGATCGAAGATGAGGTCGTTGGGGATGCGCCGCGCGTTTGGGTCAAGTGGAAACGCTATACGCTATACGCTATGGTGCCTCAATACGGTAGCCATAGCACAGTTGACAAGATATCAAAACCTTGCCGTGAGACCCATCCTCTTCATTCCTCTTCTATAGTAGACTGTTGTTACATGGTGTTTCTATTACCAAAACATCGTTGAATCAGACTCTGTACATCCTTCCCTTCATCGGAAAAGGGCCCCATATCCGACGGTCCGATGCCAAGTCGTCTGACGACGTCAGATCGAAGCCGGATTAGAAGATCCTGGTGACATGGCCGGTTTGTTTGTCTAAGAACACAAGTTTGTCTTTAAAAGAATGCATCAAATCTGCTAATTAGATTTAATTAGTGTATGGGTGGACTTGGCTGAAAGGAATGTCGCTCCTGCCTGTATGTGATCCGATGTGGAGATTGTATAGGAACCAGGTGGAAACGTGCGGAAAAAATCGTCGGATGGTTGCAGGCAGGCGGCACTGTCGTGCAACATCATGATCCCACAGATGATATCCCATAGAACGCACAGAAAGCTATCTGGCCTCAACGCACAAATCCGTCATGCTGGAAGTGATGTGAGAACATCCAATACTCATCATCTTCAGAAACTCTGGAGAACTTGATCACAATCTGTTGATCAATCTATCAGCCAAGTTTCAAACCAAAAGACATAAGCAATATAGGTATTAGGATGTATATGAGGTATAGGCGTAATTACAGCACATACAATCGTGCATTGATGCTTGCATCTCCAGAAAACATGTCGATTCTCCTGTACCACAGGTCCCAGCACGCTACCATCGGAGAGTTCTCGCTAGCGGCGTGTGCACCGGTCATGAGAGCGCCGAAACTCACGAACCACATGTTGACTATTGACTATTATATCGCTAGTAGTAACAGGTGCCTTACTAGTAGTAACAAGAAGCTATTTATTTACATTTTAAATTAATAGCTTCTTGTTACTACTAGTAAGGCACCTGTTACTCCTAGCGTGGCACCTTGTTACTACTATTGACTATTATGTTGAATTACCTCACCATCTAAATGGTCAACATACCTCCCTGTGGAGGGATTGATGAATCAAAGAGTCAAAATTACGGTAAACGCGCCCCCCCAATCGTGGCAGGAAGCCCTTCATGCCCTTCCCTCCGTCCCAAGCCCGACGAACGCGTCGTCGCCAAATCGCTCATCGCTCTCGGTCGATGTAAGCGGCAGTCGACACTTCACGCGGCACGACGTACGACTCGCGGCGGTCGACGGTACGCGGCTCGACGGACCGCGCCTCATCACAAAACCCGACAAGCCCCCCTGAAGGCGGCTCTTGAGATCATGTCGACGTGTGAGGCGAGAATAGTTTCGACCTCATTTGGCACATCATCTTCTTAGCCGGAAGACGTGTGAGCGCCCCGGCGAGAAAGCGCGTCGGCGCGTCTACGAAACCGAACACGGAGGAATAACACAACAGCGATGTGCTCAAGAATAGCCCTGATTGCGCTCAAAGAAGCACCACAATGCTCTCAGGCTGTTCATACCGCGGTTCAATCCTATCTGAAATCGTCTGTTTGCTTGTGTCAACTGCTGTCTCAGCTTCCGGCTACTGATGCTGTTCAAGTTCCCTCGATCGGAAGTCTTTTTCCTGGCACCTCAAAACGACGTCTGTCTCGACTCAAACGGCCTTCGACACCGTTTGCCGTCCTTCTCCTGACTCCATGTGTTCCGCTTTGAGCGGCGGTCGTCGTTTGGTGTGTTCCGCTTTCGCCGGTGCTTTCTGTTTCACCTTGTCCGCTGCCAAGGAGCGCAAAGCATCGGATTCCTTGGAGGGGAGAAAAAAACCGAATCGGATGCCACACTGAGTGTGGAAATCTGCCAGGCGCCAACACCATGACTTGGGTAAAATCGCAAAAAAAGACCTTGGCATGGTAAAGAAGCGGTTAATTAAATGGGTATTCATTTGGCATTGGATGCTGGTGCCTATATATCTGCCCAGTCCTAAGCGTACTTCTTCACCCAAAGAAACCCAAAGCCTGATACTTCCTACATCGCGCCCTTGCCTCAGGCAATCATCCGACTGTGAGCAGATGATAGTAGATTTCTCTCAATCACGTTCTTCGGCTAAGTGGCCCTACGGCCCTACCTAGAAATATGCAGCAGACACAAAAAGCACCACCACCTACCACCCACCTACCACCCATTACCACCCTGGGCCCTGGGCCGCTCTTTCGGCCCAAACCGCTCGCCACACACCGAGGCACCGCTCGCCACATGTCGTGCACGTTGGTCTCCGCGAACTCCGCCGGCAACGCTGTGGGACTCGCCAAACCTGGACGCTTCGGGACGCGCGTGTTCACGGCGCGAGGCGGACGGGCAGCGACCAAAGCGGTACAAGCACCGTGGAGTGTTTGGAGAAACCCATGGGATCTGTGGTGCACTGCAGTGCTGAAGAAGTTGGCAAAGATCCCGTTTTCGTCGTTTTCGTCGGCTTGTTTCGGCCATGTTGGCCATCGGCGTCCCAGTGGCCACTTCCAGTGCCATCGGTCAGAGTCTCCGAGACATCACTGACGCGTATTCGTACCTGATTCCGCTGCACGTTGCGGTTCGCGGGTCAAGCTCAACAACAGAAGAAAAGTAGAAATTGCATGAAATTACACTAGACTGTCATACTTCTGTCAACCCACCGACATCATCTTTTGGCAGGGCCGGAATTGCCATGCTGTGTTTGATTTTCCTTGATGCATGCTGTGTTTGGTCTTGCTTTTTGGGAATCATGTTGTATTTTTCATCAAAACAGCAACTCAATTGGGAATCGAGCGAGGACAGATTTGATGCGTCACCGTCAAAAACGGGGCGATGTCCGACGAACGGAACAGGCTGTCCATGCCGGGCTAGGCAAAAATGTCCCACTTTCAAGGTCCAGATGTCCTCCAGCCAAGCGGAGAGACTCTATACCTATTGGTTTCCTAAGAGGTCTTTGGAGAGTCTCAGAATTTAAAAGGTACATACCGACCCCAGACACTGGGGCTGCCAGAAAAGGCTGATCAATGTGGGGTGGTGCCAGGGGGGTATATACAGATATATGGCAGTCCTATGGCAGTCCATGGGTCGCGTCGTACATGACCCATGTGTCACAACGAAGTGTTTGACACACGACTTACAGAACATTTGAGTGACAAAAACTATGATACATCATATAGGTATACCTCTTGCTTCATGTGACTTAATCCGATGCTTCTTATTTAATTACGAGCTTCGGACCCCCCAATTCCCCAAAAAAGAACCGAACCACCTTGAACACCCCCGGTCATCCTCGGTCCAACGCTACGCTTTGGATAGCGAAACCGCCCCCGGTCTCCCGCTGTCAGGCTGCCCGCGGAGCGACGGCTTCGGATCTGGGACCTGGGTGAGTGGCAGGTTGGCAAGGAAGAAAGGGCAGCAAGCGGCAGCGAGCCGAGGTTCTGAGTCTCTCAAGAAAAGAAACTAAGAAGTGGGTGAGCTCAGATGCCCTGAGAGGCTTCAGTCTGACTCTGTGGAAAGCCTTGCGACAGATGCAGAACCAGGTCACTGAATATACTTGCTTCGCTCATTCTCCTCACAAAAAGGGAAGGACGCGAGAGAGGGGAGAGGATGAACAAAATGAACAAAAACATATGGCATGAATCAAAGGTAGTGGAAGACCTTGAACTGTGAAGCATCCTGACCTATCATCAGTAAATGTAGTCTGGAAACCAACCGAACAACTACTATGTGGAGTGACCAATCTGTCTTCTTTCTTGCTGGAATCGGAACTTCCATCAGCATCAGCTTTCTATCTGAAGGAGAACAACACAGCTCCACGCTGCCCCGCCCCCACGCTGCCCGCCGCACACGCCGCACACCCCCGTTCTACGCCCGTTCAGGCCGTTGGACCCGTTGCTTCGCCAAGCTTCATGACGTCCTGGAACTTGCCCGTGAAAATGGAGGCCGACGCCGACGCCTGGTCTTGCCGGAGCCGTCTGTCAATATAGGTTGATCAA